GAAACCAAGGAATTTAACATTTTTTTAAAAATTAACCTGTTTAATTGATCAGATGTAAAATTTAAAATCCAATCTTTTTATTTAATAATAAAAGTCTGATTAATTAATAAATTTTTGTGATATAATGGTTAAAACTTTTAATGCTATAATTTAAAAATAGATTTACTATGCAGATATTAATTCACTATCTAATAGAGATTTTTCTAGATTATTATACTTGTGCAATTATTATCATGAATTTTATTTTATATTATACATATTTCTAATTTCATTATAATCTGTCACAATTATTATCTTTTTTTTTTTATAGATTATTTTGCTTTTGGTTGTAAAGTATGAATTGCCAAATCTTTCTTTGTTGTTATCACTTAGGTTTCTTAGTTGTTATAAAGCCTTTCCTCAAGATTGGTGGCACTTTTTATTATACACAAAAATCTTGGACTTCATTTTGATATATACTGTAGAAGAAGGTATATGCAAAAATGAAGCAATAGGTTTTTTTTTTAAATATTCATTCATTTTTATAGTAACTTACTGGTTTCTCTTTGGATTCGATATTCTTACAATGTAAAGTTTTTTGGGTGCAAAGAATAAAAAGAAAGCATTAATAGAAGTTTTGGGTATTGCTATCACTATAGTATAGGCACTTTTATGAAGAAAGAAAAGGCATTTGAGCATATTTGAAATCTGCTGAAGTTAAGTTTTGGATCTTGCTATTATAACTTATATTATGAAGAAACAAAGAGTTGAAAATATAATTGTTAAACATGTCGATTTTAGAGTCCTGTCTAGTGAACTTTTTGTTAGTATGTTTTTGCATCTATTGGCTATTGGATTTATTAATGAACTTTGCTATCGAGTATTGGTAGACACATTTTGCAAGAATGCTACACTGACTACTTTAGCATTAATAGTATATGATGAAGAAAAGTGAAGATGAAAAGGATGAACATAAGAGATTGATTTATTTTCAAAAAATCTTCAATGATGGAGAATAGGAAATGCTAATAGAACATACAAGCTCAGGTAAGAAAATTGATGTTTTAATGTAACTAGAATTTGAAAAGAATGAACATAAAGCATTCATCTATTATCTAAGAATTAGCAGACATAAGTGAAATTTAGTAGAATATTTAAAGTTGGATATTATTAAAATAAAGAAATTAGTGTTAAAAAAATAAACAACTAGGCATTCATTCATTTTAAAAATTTGTAGAGATAGTAGATGCTGATAAAACATATAAATCCAGATAAGAATTTATTATTAAATAGAATTCAGCAAAGATGGAAACATTGATGTAATCTATAATTAAGATAAAAAAAAAATTAAATTAATGAAATTGGTATTAAAAAAAATGAACATAAAGCATTCATCTATTATCCAAAATCAATAGAGTTAAATAACACTAGAGAAACTATTAATATTGAATATTTTTATAATGAAATAATTAGAGTTAAAAAGATGAACAAAGGCATTTATTTATTTTTAAGAGTTTGCAGCAATAGAAATATTGATAAAACATATAATATAACCTAGGTAAAAAATTTGTATTAATTTAATAGAATTGAAGGTAAAAAGAATAACATAAAGCATTCATATATTAGTAGAGATTGGTGACCTACTGGAATATTAATGTTGTATATTTTTATAATGAAGATGTTGGAGTTAAGAAGAATGCACAGAAGACATTTGATGAAGGAATTGGAGTTGAAAAGGATAAACAGAAGGCATTCGATAATGAAATTGAAGTTAAAAAGGATTAACATAAAGCATTTATTTATTTTCAAGAATCTGCAATGATAAAAAATAAGGAGTGCATAATCTAGGTAAGAAATTTGTAATAATTTAATAGAATTAGAAGTGAAAAGAGAACTTCATATATTATCAAAAATTGGCAGAGAAGAGTTATGCTAGTAGAACATTAATGTTGAATATTTTTATAATGAAGGTAAGGTATTGGAGTTAAAAAGGGTAAACAAAAGGCATTTGACAAGAGAATTGGAGTTGGCTTTATAAAAAAAGTCGATCCATGTTTTACATTCTATGTTTTTTTTCATAAATACTGCATATCACAAAATTTATAATCTCAAATCATGGAGATTATTTAGCCTGTCTAGATTTTATTATTTCATGTTGCAGATTCATTGAGTTTTCACAAAAATATGAAGAAATAACAAAAATATTTGGAAAAATTTTTTTATAGGATAAAAAGAATAAACATAAGACATTCAAAGAATCTGCTGCAATAAAAATACATAGCGTAGGTAAGAAATTTATATTAATTTAATGGAATTTGAGATAGAATGGATGAGCATAAAGCATTCATATATTATCAAACATTAGCAGAGATGGGTTCACTAATGAAACATTAATTTTGAATATTTTTATGAATTGGAAAAGGTGAACAGAAGGTGTTCAAAGAATGAATTGGAGTTGAAAGAATGAACAGAAGGCATTTAATAAAGGTATTGGAGTTGAAAAGAATAAACAAAAAGCATTCAATAAAGAAATGAATAGAGTTAATACTTGGATCCAGATTTAATCATTTATATCCAGATTTAATCATTAAATCCAGATTTACAGCTGTTTTTATAAATTCTGAAACAACTGAAAAATTTCTAATAACTGAATTTGATAAGTTACCTAGTCAGAATTAATAAGTAACTAACTTTAGCCAAACTTAGAAACTTATTAAATTCAGTCATTAGAAATTTCCAGTTGTCCCAAAATTTATGAGAACAGCTGTAATTGTTAGATCCATATTTTATAGTTTGATTTGAATTTAATTGTAAGATTCAGATTTAATAATGTTATCTAGTATTGTCACTATATATCTGAAACAAACTTGTGAATAGACAAAGATAATGTGTCTGCATATTTAAATCTGGATCTTAAATCTATATCTAGATCTAATAGCTAAATCTGGATTTAATGATCTAATGATTAAATCCAGATATAAATAATTAAATCTGGATCCAAGAATTAACTCTAGGACAAAAAACATTCAACAAGAGAATTGAAGCCAAAAAGAATAAGAATCAGGCATTCATTTATTTTTAAGAATCTCTATAAAAAAAATCTCTTGGAATTGTTTAGAAAATTCTGAAATTATTCAATTTTTTGTTCAGAAAATTGACTCTGTTTCAAATATTTTTTTGGACAATGCTGACAATAACTACAAAAGTTTTTATAGAGAATCTGTAATGATAGAAAATACATAACTCAGGTAAAAAATTTTTATTAGTTTAATCGAATTGGAGATAAAAAGATAAATATAAGCATTCATTTATTATTACAAATTGGCAGAGATGTGTGATGCTAGTAGAGATTTGGAATTGAAAAGAATAAATATAAGGATTTAAATTTTTTTATTTTTATTTTTTTTAATATAATATATAGAATATATTATATTTTTTATTATAATTTTTTAAATAAAAGTATTTTTAATAAAAAATAATAATTTTTTTTAAAAAATGTTTTTTGTTTTTATATTAATTAGTTGATTATAAGAGTAAAAAATACTTTAAGTAATAAATAAATGTATTCTAATCTTAGTAATTTAGCTAAGTAATTCTAATATAGTACAGTTGACCTTTCCAAAACTGATCCTGTTAAAGCTGATAACCTGTTAAATCTGATAAAAAATTAATCTACCAAGTCTGTTCCTGTTATATAAATCTAATAGTTTGCTATGTTTTCAAATCCAATAACCTCTTAAAGCTGATATAAAATCTGTCCATTATGCATACCAATTTTGAGAGGGTCAACTGTATATAGTTTTTTGTAATTTATTAATAAAAGTTTATTTGAAAATAAATGCTTTTAATACAGTATAAATAGTAATTTAAATAAGTTAAATTTAGTAAATTTATTTTTTGTAATTTATTAACAAAAATCTTTTAATTTGTTATTTATTATAGTATTTCAAAATTTAAAGTAAATTTGCTAATTACTAGATGCAAAATAATAAAATTATATTTATTTTATTTTATATATTTTATTTTATATTGAGTTTAAAAATTTTATATTTATATATATAATAATATAATTTAATAAAAATAAATACTATATATTATATATTTATAATTCTATAGTACTTTTTATATAGTATTAATAAATTTTAATATTAATAATAAAAAAACAACCTAAATTAATTTTTATATAGTTGTACAAAAAATATTTTTAATTTTTTTAAATATTATAAAATAAATATCTTAATTTATGTATCTTTTTTAGGTTTTGAAATTTGAGGCATTGAACAATAATCATCTTGTTTTAATGGATTTTGTATATATTTTCTTATTTTTTCATAAAGATACTATTGTTGTATAGCAGATAATTTTGGTGATTTTTTTAATATAGAAAATAAATCTTTAGTTAGTAGTAATTGATTATATCAAATTAAATTAATTTTTTGTTCAGCTTCATCAACTGAAGATTTAATAATAACATGTCCAATATTATCTTAATTAAAATAAAAGTGATGCTGTTTTAAAAATTGAGGAACTGTATTAAAATAATTGTTTAAAAATTCTGTCCAATTAAAAAAAGTTACTTTGCATTAATTATTTTTTATAACTAATTAAGGTATATTATAATTATTTGCTGTAGAATTTTTAACAACATGTGCTAAATCTTCTAAATTATCAACTTCAGAATTTCGTAATTTTAATTTTAATAATCTAAAAAATCTATCTGGAGAAAATTTTATATGTCTAGCAACCATAAATGAATAAGGAATAGTTGAATGTAATTTCATTATTATTCTTCATGCTAAATATTTAATTATTGCATTATTTTTATTTTGTCCTGCACAATTATTAGCATATATAATTATATGTTTTTCTTCAAGTCCATGATTTTCAAAATAATTATGAACTAATGAAATTACAGTATCTGCTCCTTTTCCAACCATTTCTTTTTCTTCAATTAAATAATTAATCTTAAATATTAAATATATTAATTAATTAAAATTTATATTATACTATAATATTTTATTTTAAATAATTATCTGATAAGGAAAAGTATCTTCACATATTCCAAATACTGCAACTTTATAAAGTGATTTAAAATATATAGCACTCTTTAAAAATATAAAATATTATTAAAATTATAATAAATAAAAATTATTAATAATATATTAAAATTACTTCTTGTTGTGAAGAATAAGGTAATTGAATATTTTCAGCAAAATCTCAAGAAATATAATTTGTAATATCAATACTATTAGAAATTCCAGGATGTAAAAATGAAAAAATATTAAATATACTAAGTTTAGTATTTAAAATACATTTTTTAGTAGGATGTAGCAACTTAGTGAAGTGGTTAAGTTGTTGCATCCGAGATGGCCAGGTTTAGAGTTCGAATCCTACTGTTGATGATTTTTGAATATATAATAAATATATCTGGTGTTATACAACCTGTATAACAGTCAACCATATCCTGTGAAGTTGGGGGTACTGCTTTCTGCGCTCTGGCCCTGTAGCCCTAGGTACTGGCATTGATGTAACATACTATGTTACATCAAGAAATATATCTGGTTAGATGGCAATAGGCGGATATAAATCTGATATAAGTCCTATGAAAAGGTGCTGATGAGGAACCAATGAAGGACTGGGAACTTACCCAATCTGGA